AACGGGCAGAGTAAAGACGTTTACTGTAAATCTTTCTACGACAGACCAACGGACCACGAGTGCCCCTGTCGGTCAACCAATCACGTACCGCGGTACCGGTACCGACGCCGTAGCCAATTACCTCCAGTACGTGTCTGTAGCGCGCACTTTGAATGGCTGCATCTGTAATTCAGCTGTCACCCAAAGCCACCAAACAACCTTAAATGCCAAGCTGTGTGTCTGTGAACCATTAATTATTTACAACCACCATTAAAAAGAAAAAAGAAATACTGTGAATCATCAAAACTACAATACTATAAAAAGACTACAATAGTTTCTAACTGCAACTTAAGACAAAAAAGCAGGTACTGTACTTACCAAAATCGGAAAGTCAAACTAAAGTGATAAATTGTGATTCAAAAACTAAAACAGTGTTTGAGGCTCACGTACCTTAAAGGAGTATGGTGCAGGCCTGCCACCTCTAGTTTCTAGTCCAAAGTTTTTAGAAGCCCCAGTCCAAAAACAAAAGGATATCCAATTGAAGGAGGTATAAAAAAATAGGAAGGATTCATGCTATGTAACACACTGTATGTTAAAAATAGATATCAAAAGAAATTGTTGTAAATGACAGAAATGTTGTATTTTCTAATATTTAAAAGCTCAACTTTGTGTGAAAATCTTTTTATCAGATAATCCAAAAGGGCTTAGCCAAAATGCCTTCATACACAATTTATCTACAATAATTCAGTCAGTAAAATACATTTAAGATCAAAAAGTACATTTTTGCAATGATTCAAAATATTTTGTTCTTTTTAAATGGAATTTAATATTTAAAAATATTTCTTTAACAGGAGATGTATTATTTCGACAATGTGAAGAATTTATTATGTAAACAATTTAGTGGAACAAGTGATTTATGTGGTGATATTAAAGAAACTTGAAAGGCTCACGTAAACAAAACACAAAATATATTATGATAAAAATAAATCCTATTATGATCGAAAACTAATTGAAAAAATCTCAACCTCTGTTTATTTTAACTTATAGATGTTCTACTAATATATACAAGGCTAAACCACCACTGGGCATGCACTCCTCTGAACATCCACTGTTCACCAACTTGCTGGAAGTTCCATGGTATGAGAGAACTCTCACTGGAGCAAAGGTTAGTGTTTTTGGTAGCTACTGTAAATCACCTCATCACCAATTAACTTGCAAACTAATGATGTTATATAGTGCTTATGCAACAGTCACTTGAGTGTAGCATAGTCAGTCATCCATTTTCGAATTCACTTATCTTGTAAAGTGTTGCAAGAGGAGCCGTAGCCTATCCCAGCATAAAATTGGTGCAAGACAGGATACACCCAGGACTGGACACCATTCTATCATAGGGCCCACAGAGACACAAACACGTACTCCCTGACACCAGGGTCAATTCTGATTGAACCCAGGGCCTCAGCACTAAACAAAACAGACATCAAAAACATTTAACCAGCCAAAAATCCATATCAATAATCTTACCTTACTTTAATAGATAATAAAACTAAACAGAATATTCAGAATTCCAGGTAGAGAGGGCTGCAATCTCTCTCTCTCTCTTTGGAGCTGAGTGTGGAATCAATATGGGTTTCTATTAATAAATTGATGTTTTCATATATTATCACTGAGGCAGTATTTAATCTACTGTGCACATTAAAATGTATAATAAACACACAGACTCTATATGCATACATATAGGTTATATATATATGGTACAGATTGTGATAGACTTGTTTTTTAAAAGGCTGGTTTTGTCACTATGTTTAATTTTCTCTTCCAAAAAACATATACTGCACTCATAATGTAGCAATGTATTCTGATCCAAAAGTACCAGTTGTAGTTTTATACTGTATCAGTAACATCAGATATCTTGAAAATATTGCAAATCTAAACAAGGTACTGTATCTTTAGTTGAACAGGCATAGTGAACGTAGTCCTATTTCTGTTTCTTTTATAATTAACCAAGTGATCTATTTCACAATTTCTTAACTTCACTTCCCATTTCTCATTATTGTCCACCAGTTATTACTGAATCACTTTTTGAAAAACTGAGAATGTTATCAATGCAGGAAGAATGTATATAAAGATCATACTTAAAACATTTCCATTTATACTAGGGTACTTATTTATACTTTCTTAAAAATAAATACTACATATTCTGGGTAAATTATTTTAAAAAAGTATAGCTAAGTAAAAGCATGTTACCACATATATATGACTATTTATAGACATATTCGGTGCCTTAGACCAGTGTTTTTCCAAAATGTGTATTTTCCAGCATAGAAACACAGCTTATGCTGCATGGTTTTAGTTTGAAACACAAATCTCATATAGGAAACCACTGGTTGAGAACTGTGCATGATTTCCTGCACAATATGCACTTGTCAGACACATTTGCCATTTTTCATGCTGCAAATACCACAGTGCCTATGGGGAGAATTAGGTCAGCTTTGCACTGCTGCTTGGCAAATCCGGGTCACAGTTGTCTAATGATATCTTGTATTCTCACTGGTGAGGACTAGACTGTACAGCTCAGCATGTGACCTCTTGTGCCAGATGAACCACACAGGAACCCCATTCAGAAACACAGTGAGCAAAACAAATATAAAACATGTTTAGAAATGATTGATATTTATTCAGTAACTCAATTATTAGAAGATTAAAAAAAATACATTAATTAGACCTTTGATAGTAAAAGTTCCAATACGCAACTAGAAGAGAGCAAGGGTACTTTCCAAGATACTTAATAAAGAGTGGAAGGCAGTTTTGGCCTTAGCCTGCAGGACAAAAAAGTCAGAATCTAACAATATTTTCCCAATTCTACCCTGCCACCTGAATTCAAATGTAGAAACCTCAGCTTTCAGTTGATCAACAAAATGGAAGAAAGAAAAGCTGATACTTCCATGCGGAATAACATTTAGTTACAGTATGAAACATTTAAAAAAGAAATGCGTTTTTACATATAAACACAAGAAATTAGACTATAAGAAAGTTTTCCTTTTAATATAAAGTTCTTTCTATATTCATTATCTGAAGAATACAAAAGGTACATTACACATTTTCCTAGACCTCAACATATATATCATATTTATATATGTTTTCTAACAGTTATTATACCCTAAATTGTGTTGCTTTGGGTGCTAAACACTACCTGTACTTCACCAAAAAACAAGTTACTGTACATACTGTACCAGTCTCATACTTCATCATACAACAAATTGGAAAGAAAGAGAAACCCAGCAGCATTTTATTATCTTTGAATTCTGCAGGTAGAAGACCCATAATGTTATCAGATGTAAAATATATGGTGTTGTTTTATACTTATACATGACTCACCACCGAACCTCAGCTCTGTAAGTCTAGTGTAAATAGTCTACACAATACGTTAATGCTGACCTGTACAGTTCATCCACAGTGTAATTGTGCCAATAAATAATGCCAGTCAACCTTCGCGAACATCCCATGTTCTTTAACTTGCTGTAGTTTCAAAAACATAAAAACAATATAATAATAATGATGCATTTTTCTTTTTGTGCAAGTTAAGGCTCTAAAAGATCCTGAGGAGACCAGTTTCAGTATACAAATGTGGCAAAGAAAGAACCTAAACACCATGTAGGGCCTGGTTTTAAACAGATTCCACCAGCTTCAAGAGAAAAAAAAAGCAAAAACAATGGGATCACCACATCACTTGTATTAAGAAAACATTCAAACAGGCAGCTTGGCTTTGAACATGGCAGTTTTTGATAAATGTATCGCAATGCTTAATGAAATTGAAGAAAATGGAAGTGCAGAGAAGAGTAAAATATTCTTTCCTTTCACCATTAGGAAAAATGAATGCATTTCATTTGCTTTACAAATGATCAGTGAAAGAGCTATTTTTCTTTTTGGAGCTACCCAAGAACAGGTTAAAGATGTAGAGTCTTGGAACTTGAAATAAATTAAACTGATGAAGTACATTTTTTTCCTTGTGTACAGTAAACACTTTTGACTTGTAAAGAAGAAATAGCACAATGGGAAAAAAACATTTTTCTCCTCTGAAGACATCTTCATACAGTATATAGATAGATGAAATAAAGTGGGAAAATCTTAAATTAGTCAATGTTCATGCTTCTTATAGTCAATGCCATAATTGCAATGTGTTAGCTCCTTTTAATTTTGCAAACATAGTCAAACTTCAATGAAATACTCAACTCACATGCACAGCTACCACACATAATGGTAGCTATCAATATACCATAGTCAACTTTCATCTACCCAGTAGAAAACACTCAGAGTACAATGCAAGACTATTTTTAAAGTCTTTAGAAATTATGAAAGCGTTTTAGGCATCTGAAGACAAGGCATCCTTTCAGCACAGGCAGAGATTCTCATTGATCTGCACTTGAATATAATACCTACATAGTTTTGCAATGGGGCTTTTTATGGAAGGTCATTTCAACTATATCTAGCCACCTGTTGGTGACACTGGAATAGTTAATGTACTTTTCTTGCACACTGTAAAACACTGTAATAGGTGGATCATGGCATTTCCAAAAACAGTGACAGGCAGCTTTGGGTATTCAATGAGTAACAATCAAACTTCTAAGCACTTACTATACAGAGAAAGTTATCCTTACTTACACTGGACAGCTGTTTGCTGCTTACACAACAGCTGCTCTAAGAGAGTGAAAAAGGAAACCTCCCTCTCAATTTATTTAATTAAATCTATAAAAAGCTAAATAAGTCATACAAAATATGCATATAAGAACATTTTATGAAAGCTGCTTTGGTAAGAACATATTAAAGATGTTTCAGTGCATTTCAGGTTCTGCAAGGAAACTCAAGATTAAATTTGAAGGTTTTTCAGTTTTGTGGTACTTTGTTTGAAGTCTAAACATAGGACCTATGTAGATCAGCAAGATTAGTTGGTAGTTTAAGTACATTTATGAGTCTTTATAATGCCACCTCCTCATTAAATGCAAAGTCCACTGTATATTTTTGTCATAATGTTGATCTCGCTGTGAAGGAGAGTGCTATTGTACTTAGTGCTGATAAAGTGGAGACTTTGGAAGCTGAACCAATGGCTTTTGGACCTGTAAGCAGAGAAAGAGACCATTTTGGTTATACTTGTGAAGTTAGGTTGAACAAACAGCCACAACTTAAAACCTTATTAACTGAGACTGATGTACACATTTTGAAAAATTAACTTCAACAAGTTAGGCAAGAACGGTGAATAAAAAAAGACATTTATTCATAAAAAGTAGTTATATTCATTAGAAATAATATAACAGGCAAATGTGTTTTCTAGTAAAAATAGGAAAAAGCACTACATAGCAATACTCATATGTTTTACAGTGTTTTAACTTAGTTTAAATAGGAGCATTTGCCAACAATTGACAATTACCAAATTATCTTTTTGGATACTTGTGATGAAGTGATATGCTTAACTATGTGTGTAAAGCATTAACTATTAACCCATTAAGAGTTGTTTGATAAGGTATTCTCTGAATCAATATGAGGGAAAACTGGGCAATGGCAACTTTCTTTATAAAAACAGACATACTGTATAGCTGGATACACTGGATGCCAAAATGTGAAGACAAAAGTCTATTCAAGCAAAGAGTTCAAGTGAAGTGGTTAAAGAAGAACTGCACTCCCAATTTCACAGACCGGTTATTAAATCTCAGTAACAAAATAAATTAATTGACGGTCCTGAAATAAGCACAAAAACTTTGTGAACTTTGTGAAACAACTGCATAGTCGCCAAGTTGTCGTAAACCCCTGGTCTCACTTTTATGAGAATTGCAAGATGAAGTGGCCCTTCCTGTTCACTAGTCACCGTAATAACTGATGTAATACCTTGGATGAGTGAATAAGTACACTGCAGAAATGTTTTAACTTGATTTGCATGCAGAGTTAACAAGTGAGTTGTATTTGTTGAACAAAACATCTCAAAGTCGAGAGCGATATTTCTATTGGATTAAAAGGGATGCATTCACAAACCTACTTGTATACAATGTAATAGGGCCACTTAACCTTACTGGAAGTGCAGTTGCCTCGTTCTAAATTGCAGAGAATTGCTGTGCATACCTGGAAATGTTGTTTATTTTGTGATATCAATTGTGGTTTGAAATGCACTCATAAATGCCCCTTCTTTCTAACCCTAAAATATAAAAATAGTGTTGCAGTTCCCCTTTAATTAGAGTTCGTTATTAAATCCTGAGCTTGAACGAAAATGTGTAGTAGAATCAGCAGTACACCAGAAGCAGGATTAAGATCTGATCTACCGGACTGTATTCGCTGGTGCTCAAGAGTAAAGATCTGGACAGTAACTTCATTCTGGTATCAGAACAATTTACCTGATATTCTGGGAATAGTTATCTGTTTACTGCTCCTCCCTTCACCTCCATCACTAAAAGGCTTTATTTGTATGATATACTCTTCATCAATAGGCAAGGAAAGTTCCACTGATGTTGTATTAGTTTCTACAACATTGGTGCTGCTTTGTTTGTTGCATTTGTATAGCACCTAAAAAGTTAAGGAGCAAAGTTTAACTGTTGAAAAGTTCAAGACAAAATGAAATACTGAGCAATTCAGAGAAGATAAAATAACACACTGTAACATGCAAACCTAACATGCAGATGTGTGTTATGAATGATATGTTAATCTTTGATCTGTAGGATATGAGCCCTCCAATTGTAGCTGAATTATGAATAGAGATGTACAGAGTACAATGTGAAACAACATATACTGTAAACCTGGCTTTGAGAGGAATCTATTTTATGAAAAAAGCAAGTAATAAAAGAAAACTATAATAGAACCAGCTTACCTTATATCCTGTGACTTCTGATTCATTCTCTAGAGCTTTAACATGTTCCCAGTTTAATATGACTTTGGAGTTTAATGTAATCCACATAACTTTCAAAGGTGGTTGACTAGGTGCTGGAAAACAGCAAAACCTATTTTACTGAAAATGCATAATAAAATAATAATGGAAAACATATTGAGTTATAATCCAATTAATAAAACAAATAAAAGCTGATGAAAGAAGTAGTATATTAGATATAATGCTATAATAAAATAAAATGATAAGAGGCTTATAAAATTTGCTTTGAGAAGTTGTAACTGAATCAATGTCATCACCACAATCATAGTTAAATTGATGACATCCATATGACTATAAGGTTACATTGAATTCAGAACCTCTTTGACATCTACTCTAACAACAAAATTCTGGGGGTAGAGTTATGTTTTCTGACATCTTCAGCTTGGCTAATGGAGCTATGGAGTCCTGGAGCTATACAGACAATTCCTGGCAATACAGATTCTATTCCCAGTTTCTGCATTTAATATACATTAAAAAAACCCTGAATGTCTTTTTATATCCCCACTTTAATAGCATATTCTACAAAATGATAATAGAAGCAAGTGAAAAAAATAAACTATGCAAGTTAATCTTGTTTCTGCAACTGGTAGAGACCTGCTGGAGTTTTCATTTAATCATTTAATCAATCTATATTTTAAATGTTTTTTAGTCTTTCAAAACACAACTGGCATTGTTCTATCTATCTGTAACATTCAGAAATTCTGCAAACCCATACCTGCATTCATGTTACTATGATACATGGCATTGCTTAAGTTAATTCAAATAGTTCTGATTTGGTAAGAAGATTAATTTTTTCGATTTCAAAATCGTTTAGTGCTATGTTCAAAGCAGGAATTTGAGTTAAGGGGATGAAGAGCAATTCATAAGTTTTGAGATACAACACAGAAAAGGGAGAGAGAGGTCCACTGGGATCACTTTATAAAAAAAAATGAAAAAAGATTTAAGTACGGCTGTGTTTGGTTTGTGGAATTAGATTTGTCACAAAATCTAAATTAAATGGAGTCAGCGGCACCATCTTTGTTTCTGTTAAGAAGTAGTGGTTCCCACACTTGGGGAAAAAAGTACATTTTCATTTTTGAGATGTGAAAAACAATCGCAAAGCAGACACTCACGTGGTTTTCTGGTGGTGACATTCACAATATTGCTGCTTGGTCCCACTCCTGCTGTGCTGTAAGCTTGCACAGTAATGTAATACAGAGTGTTTCCTTTCAATCCACGGATAACCTCAGATGTTCTGTTTCCCTGTGTCCTCACAACCCTTGCTGTCTCCTCCTTTTCTTTGCTTGCCCAGCATCTCAGCTATAAAGAAAGTTAGCAGAAGTAGTATTTTAACAGATTTTTATTAGAGTAATTCCTATAATTACCAAATGTTTAGACCCATGTCATATACGTTGTTTATATATGTTGTCAGAATTATGAGAGTTCTACAATGCCCATGGCAGTCATGATACCCTTGTGTATGACTGTGTGTCATTGTGCATGAAGACGTCAATACAATGAAGAAAAAATATTTACAAGAAAGATTGTAAACTATTGGCTATTTACCTGGCCATATCTAATCACTTTATGTTTAATAAACCACAGAAAATATATATTTGATTACTGAGCAACATAACCGTTATTTTGTACATAACTACCACAGCGCCTCATAAATTGAATCTTTCAATTTAGATGTACTCTATTAAAAAGCAATTACATTAAAGAAAGCCTCCCCTACTTTTAGCCAACAGTCTTTGGAGACTGAACTCAATATTTTGTCTCTTGATGCAGTGTATCGCTCTCCCATATGCCAATAGAGTCAACCTACTGTACATTTTTACTCAATTAGATGCTACGCTCGAAAATACATAATCAGCTGTTACTTCAAATTCCTGCTGTATAAACAGAAGAAACCACTGAGTCCCATAAATTATGAAACAGAATAAGACATAATGTTTCCTTTGGTATTCAATTATTAGTTTCCATTATTAGCAGAGCCTTATGGCACATCTTTCTCACACAGAGACATGTAGCTGCATGGAGACTTTCACTAGATAATGCAGTTAACTGCATGAAGATTGGCTGTTATGCACCACTTTGTTCTTACCTCATATCCCAAAACTCTTCTTCTGTTTGTGTTCCAGGGGATAGGTTTCCAGGAAACTTCAATTTCATAAGCAGACAGGCTCTTCGCTCTCACTTTGTTTGGTGCTCTGCCAGGCTCTAGGTTAAAATAACAATAATGAATAAAAAACACTGTCAGGCTCAGTCAACCCTACAAGACAGCTGATCATCTGTTTGATCATGGATCAGTTTTAGCTTAGATGATCCAAACCTTTAAATGATAAGGGAAAGATTCAAGAAAAGACAAATGTACAATTTTATTTTTTTACAAAAGAAGAAAACTATCAATATAAAACAAGATCACTGCTGTTTAAAATACATGATTTAATTCAGAAAAATCTGCAGTTATGCCACTAAAGGGTTCTTGTTAAAATGAAAAAAAAAAAAAAAACAGGAGAGATAATTGGTTTTGAAACATTAATAAATACATTATACATTGACATAATGTGTGTTAATTTTTTAAGAAAACAACAGCATGTGCAAAGTCAGTTAAATCATACATTTATATAGACATGGAAAATGTTTGTAATGGTTTAGCAATGTCTGCACCATTTCTATGGTTAATTACAATATACAGTAAGAACTAAACGTGAATGATTACTGTATATCAAGGTACTGGTATGGATTTACAGGGTATTAGGTAACATGATACTGATAATTGAATTTCTGAACAAGTTGCCACAAAAGAGGGAAAACTATTAGAAACTCAGTTATTACTTTTGCAGATGTTACAGTATGTACATAATAACTTTCTGTAATATGAAAGTAGATCAAGAGTTTACTGCCCATGCTGTAAACTGTGCTTTCAGATAGTTTTATTTAAAAGATGTTCAGCTACAGTACCTTCTTCTGCAGAGAATATGGTGGTTGTGGATCCAAAGGGACCTTCTCCTTTGCTATTGTAAACTCCCACTTTAACTTCAAAAGGTGATAATGGTGGCATGCTTTCATCTTTGAAAACATATTTTGAGGCGTCAGCAGAAGGCACTACTGCTTTCATCCAGCTTGTAGCTCCTAGTGGTCTGAAGGCAACAACGTAGCCGAACTCTCTCCCATTCTGCAACTCATCGGGAACAGGCTGTGTGAAAAACAACAGCCATTAACTTCAGGTTTATTCTCCAAAAGGTTCCCACTAATTAATGGATTTGCATATTCCCTTTTAATCCAGAAAAATCTGAACTATTATATACAACTATTTTTGACAGTTTTATCTTTACACAATTTGAGGGAACATCAGGCAGCTTCTCAGAAAGGTCTCTCATTAAATCCTGTGGACACCTAGCTATCCTTTTGTTTTTAAATTGACCTGCGTATTTTAACATTTCCTTTCTTATTAATTATTTTTTGTATTTAATCACTTGCCTAGGACATCCAACAAAGATATTCTTTATGAGCAACAGAAGGTGAAGTGCAGTAACAAGTCCTTTTTATAATTAAATCTAAAATGACTAAACGGTGAAGTGAATTTTGCTCCCAAAACTCTTCCCTACACTTAGTATAACCTCTAATTGCTAAATAGAGGGACTGCCACATGCAAGGGGTACATTATATCCTATTGCATAGATGAAAAACAAGTGTTGACACCAGTTAGCATTTTGCTGCCAATGTGACAAACTCTTAACGAACATGGCCATCCTTCTCAAGGCAGCTAACTGCCCAGACCTGCTAGACTGTCAGAATCCTTGATTTGATGTGACTTAAATGGCCCAACGGAGTTCAAGTGTTGGTGGGGGGGAGGGGGAAGCTTAAAGCATATGCAAACACACACACACCAACATCTGCTGACAGAAGAGTTTCTGTTGTTACCTTAGTAGTCACTGTGTGTTAAAATGGTTTAAAATAAATTAAGTATAAATAGTGGGCTCATCAAACAAGTATTTTTTGTTTCTAAGGAATTACAGTTTAATGGGATACACCAATTAAATTGTCAAATTCTGCCTATTCAAAATGAGGTATTTTTTCTACCAGCTGTGAATTAATAATTTCGGCAACCCCCTTTTCAGTTGCCATCCATGATAAATGATTGAGGCTGCTGAAAAAAAAAGGAAACTGAAAGGAAAAAAAAAATCCTAAAAGGCCTTTGGAAAGTTGCTTGTAACTTTGGAAGAACCATTCAGTCTAATTAGATTATTAAACCTCAGAGGCACTTTCCTCTCCCCTTGGGCGATAATACCATTTATTGCTTCTCTTTCCTTAAAATGAAACTCCATATATTAAGTCTGACTGTAGTTATTAATCCTACAAAAGCCAAGATCTATAGAGAATAATGGGGTCTAGCTTTAATTCAAAGGGTAAAAGTATAATACAGTGGTCTTCTTACCTCCCAAGTGATCACTAATTCAGAGCGACTGCCGCCACCTCCACTTACATTAGACGGGGTGACCTTCGGAACTAGGAGAAGAGAAGCCTATTTTTAATCCTCTGTTAAACTCTGCTGAGTTTTGTTTTATTCATTCTCACTTTAAAAAGATAATCAATTTACAGTAGGTTTAAAGTGCAGTATGAATAACGGCAAATCAGCCTACACTTAAACCAACTGGTGTATGCAGAAGTGGCCCAGGTTTAAATAGAGAATAACCTTCCTGTGTAACAGAAGAAGTCAGGCAGGAAAGTACTGTACAGCTGCAGAAGAGTATTTTATCTGGGCACTCGTGAACAGTTTTCTTTCCCACAGATTATGCAGCCATGCAAAATTAGTGAACTAGGGAAAATGGTTATGTAGAAAACTACAGGGTTTGATATTTGCATTGAAAATAGCAAGGCAAAGTATAAAACAAATGTGCACATGCTCATTTGTGGTGCTCTGCTTCATTATTAAAACAATCCTGGCTCTGGAACAACATGTTTTGAATACTGTTTAGCCCAAACAAGCTAGCAAAATCAGTTAGTGAATGAAAATAAAAAACTCACGGGTCTCCTTACTCCTTGCTTTTCTTGAAGGTTTACTTGGTTCCCCAATCCCAACAGCATTGCTGGCTACCACCCGGAACTCATACTCAACCCATGGGTTTAGGTCTACCACTGTGGCCTTCAATTGTCTGCCTCCTATGACTTCAGGAACTGAGGAGAAACCACAAGAGATGCACTTACTGGCTGGCCTACTCTGTTTGAAATACCGATGTAAGAAAAAGATAAGCAGGAAGGTGCTTCAGACATCAGCGTTAAAAAAATGCTCTTGACATCTGTCACGATATGCACTTATATAGACATATACTGTAACTGGATAGAATACACAGATGCAATAGTTGCAGAGAAGCTACAAGGCAGTTGGAAGTTTGCCTCATGATGAGTTAGGCAGGAGCAGTCATTCTAAATGCTTGCTGTTACAGAAAGGGATTCCTGTTATGTGAGGTTAGCCTCCAATTCAAGTATTATGTAAATTATTGCTGTAATTATGATACAATAAAATAAATAATGACATATATGATACTTTGTATACTTCTAAACATTTTAGTAGAAGATTTCCATTAAGATGTACTTCTGTGTGCAGTTTGCAAATTTTTCTCGGGTTTATGTGGACTTTTGCCAGCTGCCCTGGTTTCCTGCCACCTTCCAAAGACATGCTTGTTAGGTTAACTGATGTCTCTTAATTGTGTGTTTGCCCTGTAACAGTGTCCATGTGCTTTGTATGCTGGATAGGTTCCCAAAACACTGAACAGGAATATAAAGTTGCTTTCTGACAACAGGCTGAATATCAACTATAAACTATATGTATATTTTAAAGGGTAACAGAGTACAATCTTTTTAATTATTCTATTATATTAAGTTGCGTATAGTTTGGATGAAAAAAAGCATCCTTAAGGAAGAAAGAACTTAATTTTTTTGTCACATCTAGTGAATGCTGGTTTCAGGCCCTTCTAAATTTAGTGCCTACCTGTTGTGACAGCCTGCCAGCCCACAGAGAATGGAGTTCTTGCCTGGATGGTATAAATGGTAATTGGACTGTGATTATCAGGGCCTGGCCTCCAGGAAAGCACAGCTGTCGTATCAGTGATTTCTTCTACTCTTATGCTTTCTGGTGGACCCGGTGGACCTAAAACACAGAGAACAGTGAAGCTAACAATAGTTGTAAAAATACGGAAGAGTGCTCTCATTATTAATTGATGCCTCCAGCCCATGTATACAGCTGGTAAAATATGTTTTATTACATTATTAATCATAACCATTTACAGCTCATTTTTCTTTGTAAATATAAAAGCACTTTTGGCAGGTTTCACATAGAACTGATGGTAAGTGTTACACGTTTGTCTATAATAATAATTAATAAAAATAATTGTGTACATCTTTATGACTTACAATTCAAAGTATCGCAAAATGTTTTATAGGTGGGGACCCATTTTAAACAAGTGTAGCCCCCACCGAAGTGAAATATAGCAGGCATTATGCAGCGACAGGCTTACTGCAGAGCACATCAGGTTAAGAAGTGAGAAATTAAGGGGATAAAACCCTTACTCTTATGAATAATGACAAAAGATCTTTGTTGACAAATTGTTGGAATCTTGGTTTAAGCTCTAATCCATAGGACAAAACCTCCTACAGCACCATGTCTTCATCACCATACTGGGGCACTGGCTTGGATTTACAGATCAAAGAGAACCACCAACCGGCGAACCAACATACAGTTCTACCACTTACATACAGTAGCAATCTTGTTATCCTTACAAATTCCCCACGCCAGTATTGATAAGATCCACCTTTGCTTAATGTATGGATGATAACAGAATGCAAGGTGGTAAGACTGTTATATACTGTATTTGGCATTTATAGTAGTCTATTTCTAATTAATTTAATGATGTTATATGGGAGATACTGTATAACTGTCTACCAGTTTTTGACAAATTCCTCAAACTTCTAACAATTAATAACAATTACAATTAATAATGTTCTTTAAGTGATCTATTTATATCACAGAATCATAATATGTAAATTTGTGGATTAATAATTCTAGCTGACCTTATAAAACAACTTAAAAATGAATGAAAAAGAGCATATGGACAACATATTGAATCTATATATTTAATTAATTTTGGAAATATATTTAATAATTGTTCCCCACTTCCTAAAACTGAAAGCTAGTATAGTGTATGTGATCCATTTCTAAGCCAGCAAAGGATTTGTACGTGGTATCAGCAGTACTTCTCTGTAAGTACAAAAAACAATAGCAGGCACAAAAAACACATAAATTAAATGTATACATTACCTCTGACAATAAGATCAGCCCCAGCAGAAATGCTGTCAACATTTGTCTGCACCACGCAGGTATATTTCCCAGAATCCCTCAGCTGTACATTTCGAATCATAATATCTCCTGCAGAGTGCTGCTAACAATAGAAATAGAAAACGTAAATGGAATTATTTCATATTTGTAGTTTATTTCACATAAACCTTCTTTTTTCACCATGGACAAAGAGAACTTTAAAAACTATATACTGTACAAGCCAGAAAACCAAAGCTTTTGATATAACATGATGGTAGCTTTCAGAACAATTCAAAATCGCTTATTCTCAGTTGCTATTTATATATTTGTGCATAAATATTATGTGCTTGTCCTTAATTCTTTGCAGTGAAGTGCATTAAGTTTAGACATATTGAACTTAACCATATTTAGTTATTTAATAATCATATTTCACATGTGCATTTCTGTACTGCATTGCATCAATAAATTTAATTTCTTTATGCACATGGAATGTACTGTATGCGTCTTGGTATTACCTGTAGATTAATTTCTACATTCATTTTAACAGGTTCAGTACACAAAGAATCTCAGAAAGATTACTGTTCTTAAGTTATATTTTTAAATTGTAAAAGAAAGTTTGAGCGCTGTGGTATCAACACTTATATTTTCAAAGAACATTCTTTGCCCTTTTGTATTTCTAATATTGGTTATCAATCTGTCTCCTCTCTTAATCAGGGCAAAGCATAAGAGTGTCAAATGCAATAATAAACTAAACCTGGCCAAGGCAGTAGGATTAACAAGATTCACGAGGTTTCAATTAAGAATTGCATAAAAGGAATTTATTGGGAAAGGGGGATAATTTATTATGGCAATGGAAAGCCTAATTATGATTAAAATGCTTGAAATTCTTAAGTGCTCCAATACAAATAAAATGAAAATCCCAACTAAGGGTTTCAGTTGCAAATCCCCAAACCATTGTAATTTCTGCAGTGAATTAATGATGATAATCTTCCACACCACAGTAAAGAAAAAATACAATTTAAATGCTTTGTTTTATTTCGGTACACAAACATACAAACTGTATATATGACCCTTTTCTAATCCCTACAACAATATATATGATTATTACAGAAGGGAAGGGATAGTAGATGTGAAAGAAGTATTATAGTACTTATCTAGTAGAAATACACCTGCTTTTTATTTTCTTCTATTTTCCAATTGCAATGTGACTGTTTTCCTGATAAGCTTTCCTCTAACTTCAGAGTCATAAATAAAATAGTAGTAATTTACTGCATGGCAAAATTTGTTCCACTCTGTATATTCATTATGCATCACACTGTTTCTGTTACCATACAGTATGTGCTGTGCTTTGACAACCACAAGGTAATATTACAGAAATTGGATGAAGTCTATTACATTTACCTGGCAAGACTATCAAAACTGTATGAGGGAAATGGCTAACCAGAATAGCAAGCAAACACAACAGAAGGCTGCATATACTTACACCACCAACTTTTTCAAAGTAACCTCTATGGCTTCCAAAATTAATGGGCTGCCCATTGAAGAACCATGTGAATTTAATATCAAGAGATGGATCATGCAACACCTGGCACTGAAGAACTATGCTTTCTCCAACTGTAACATCCATACTAGAAGGAGGTACAGTAATAACAGTTGGATCTAAAAAACAAAGGAAACAAGTTAGCATATGTATTTCAATCAAAATCACAGACTAATAACACAGCAATCTAAATGCAAATCTTTCACATAGTAGTTTAGGGTGTGAAAAGTCAGATGTAAAATTTAGTTTATTCTAAAATCCAGTTACAGTATGAGTCGAAGGTTTACTGGTGATGTTGTCTGCATTATTTACAAAACTAACCCAGGTACAAAAAGACATGTTGCCTCCCTGAATTAAAGGAAATAACATATTTAAGGAAAAAATAAATTAAACTTGCTCCACTTACACAAAGGCTTTTTCCAGAAAATGTTGGAACAGAGGTAAAAAAATGTATGCATTGTACATCTATCCTATACACAGAAAGAACATGATAACTGTAGGTGTCACTGTTACCACGCATTTAAGCCTTTATTTAGTATTAAAATGTATAATACTTTTATACATTTAAAACATCTACAACCCTGTTAAAGTTTAAAGTAAGAATATTTGCTTGATTTTTCATTAGTGGAATGACAATCTTAATGTTCTTTTGTTTTCAGCCTTACATTGGGTAACTGTAGTCTGCACCATAAAAGTGTCTCTGCTCTTATAAAGCAGGATGCATTTTTTCCCTTTTGGTGGAGCTGCAGGACACATGCTATAAACATTCTGAAAACAGACAACAATTTAATCACTTTTAAGGCTAAACAATGAATGTTCATAGGTAATATTTATTCTGGTAAATTAACACACAAACACCAACAGAACATAGCTCAGGTGAACTGGGAAACTGAACATTGACACTTTTTTTTCAAAAAATTAACTGGAAAATGCCTCAAATTATAAAGTTTAGCTGTGTTTTTCCCTCACCCCATGTGCAACATGTTTAGCTGACATGTAATTTTCATTTTATTGTTCCTTTATTGTAAGTAGAGAAAATTGGTGTCTATTTAAACATAAGAAAATGGTCACACGGCAAACTGTAATCTTTGACACACAGATAAAAAAAAACTACCATCCCCAAAGTAGTTCCTGACATGTGCAACTCATAATGATGATCAATACTAAAGGTGGCAACTTCCCAACCCTCTGAGTGAAAATGAGAAACCCAAGTGAGCTCTAAAAGGTGGGGCAATGACTTTGTTTGCCAATATCAGTTAAATCCTGCAGACTCAGACAGTTCATGCCATGAATAGTTATAACATCTTCCTATGTTTCCCTACTGTATTTCCCCTCTGCCATTATGGCAACAATATGTGTTTTCTGTAGACTGGAGACGTTCATCGATTTCTCTTGACGTTTGTCTCCTCAGCTCACCTATTTCAGGGTAACTCCTCATGGTATGGGAGGGTACATTTCTACTCTTTATCTAAAAGAAACACATTTCTTGCATCCAAAAATTCTGCATCTGCTTATCAAAACAATATGACAACTTAAAAAAACAAACAAAACAAAAATGGGTTGCACAGAGATGTGAGAAGTCACAGCACAGTTCAATGAGTTCATTTAACAGACAAGCCCTTATTGATAGCACTGCAAAACCATGCTTTGAGGGCCTTTTGCTATCCAATTACAACCTGGCTAACCTAATGTGTTATCATAAATGTCAAGACAAACACAGAACACATATTTAATCACAGAATGTAAAATTGCATTCATGATATGGGAATATCTTTAAGCACCTGCCAAATGCATTCTCTAATATCCAGCTGAATATCACAAACCAGTCACAGAGTCAAACATTAGGATGAATGCCCTATGATCTAGCATTGCAGAATAGATACAGATGGAAACTTAAAATTTGAAATGTCACTAATAGTAAACCTAACAACCTAACCTTAACCTAAAAAAACAATTAAAAAGTCAAATAAATGCAAAGATTCCACTAAATCTGTAATGGTACTAGGACTTAAACCACATTTGCATTGTTCACAAAGGTCTAGTTCCACTGATTCTCTAACCCTTACCCTAGCCTGAAAGATTTGTATATTATGAAAATGGTTGGTGCTTCAGGTTTAGACTATATCATTGAATGTGGCTGAGCAAAAAGTAAGTATAAAAAGTCTAATCTATGGAAAAAACATTATTCAGACATCTTTTGGAAATGCTGCATGAAGACTTTTCGTGAACTGACCCTTTAAATGTCTTTAGGTTCAACCTTTGCAATTTGTTTTGCCAATTTGTTTTAATGAAGAGAATTAAGCAATTTAAAATTGCAGGATGCACACAAATGCACACTTTTGATTAAGTGCTTCAAAATGCAGTAGATAGGCTAATGCTGATAATGTCCATCCGTTGACCCATTTTATAACTGCTTTATCAGATACAGGGTCGCAAGGCAAACAATGGGCACAGGGCAGGATACATCCTGAATGGGATGTCAGTCCATCGCAGACACAAAGACACAAACACACCCATACTCACACTACAGTCAATTTTCTCAGGAAACAATTAACCCAGTAGTGTGTATTTGTATTATGGAAGGAAAGCACAATTGGGGTAATACTTTGCTTAATGGGTAAACTTCCGGTACAAGTCTTTAGGACATTAATCTTTATATGCTAATCTTACATCCTACACCTTGTCATAACAGCATCATGTACAGAACACAGCTGCTAGGTTCTAAGTAGAAGAGCACATACAATTACTGTATAAGCTCTACACTGGCATCACTGCACTAGTATCTGGTTCATTACCAGAATTTAAAACTTCTATGGTGCCTGTGACTGCAGTGTTGTGTTGCTGAATACGTTAACTTACTTAGATTGTATTTGCAGTGGAAAGCACTAATACTAGGGCAAATTTGTCAACACCTGATAATCACTATGACATTTTGGGCAAAGCATTAGCACTGCGATGTTGATGCTATACATATGCTTTGTGCAGGGCAGGAACAGTAGCAACTGTGGTCAGTACAAATGAGTCATCAGCTCATTAACCATTCCTTGTGAAATGATTTTGATGATGGTGCAAAGCACATTAGGTTTGTTTTTTAAAAGAGCCATTTCATGGAACATTCTCTTAGCATAATCATTAGGGCAACAAATTCTCTAAACCACAAATAGCAGCAACTAAATGGTTCTGAATCTAACTAAACATAACAACTGGAGAGTACAGACAAAATGTTATGCATGGATTGTGTATATAGATTAATATAAATGTACAGTACATGAATATAAAGTCCTCTCAAACAGTACTTGGAAAGCAATGACAAAAGTGTTATTTTTGCTTTACAGTCAAGCAAATTGTATTTGTGGGCAATTTGTATTTGTATATACAGTTCCTGATCAGAAATAAATGTGCACACAGTTATCATGGTGAATGTCTACTTACTGCTGAACAGGCACTGTACACATTATACATAGTTTAGATATTACAGGCAGTTCAATGGGATCCTTAAAAAAGAAGATGTGGATGCATTGAAAACTAATATTGTATTTAAGGTTTCCAAGCTTGTTTCTTTTTTAAATGCAGTGAATATATGTCACCTATGACTTAACAAAGTAACTGTGGACAATATCAGCTAGATAACACAGACAGATACAGAAGTAGATACAGGAAGATCACATAACATTGCAAAGCATGCATTCTGCAAATGTGCCTACTGGTAGCAAAACAATGCTTCTTTAAATAAGTAAAAGCCAAACGTAGACAAGACAATAAATTATATTTTTACATGATGATTAGTGAATGTTTTGAAATGAAAATAACAAGACTGAGATACTGCTCATAGCAGGACATCCAGATTGAAAAGCGCTCAATATACAGCAATATACAGTACATGTCTATTTTTGTTGTTAACATCCCCCGCTAGTGCAAGTTCCAAGTGTAGCTTATTCTTCCATTTTTATTATTCGCTCCTCTTGACTTTTATTTTATTAATTATCGTAACAGACATTTATTTTATTTTCAGTTTATTATACCACTTGTGGTGTATAATATTTTGAATGCAAAATTTTTATATTTACTAATAATAAATAGCAAAGAAATATATTTACACATTTTAACATTTTATACAAATAAATGTTTTATTTTGATTATGTGCACTATGAATGCACAGAAACAATATCACCAGACAGATTAATGCTTTAATAGTTATGAGTTTTATTCTTTGACTGCCCAACAAGCAGTTGGAGCTGTAATGTAAAAAATGGGTTAGGCCATAAGGGGGCAGCATAGAGACATTGCAGATACAGGAAAAAGCTGCATTTGAACAAGGATATTAAGGAAATAGTGTCACCTGTGTGAAGCCAGTCTTCTCTATTTAAGGGTTCAAGTAGTAGGTGGTCCTTGTCTACTCAGAGGAGAACATGGGCCTTCGCTATCATGCACAGTGACAGAGCAGAGTCTCACAGTGAGACCTAATGTATGGATAAGATCCTCACTGACAACTGTGGCAGTGAGAAGCCAGGTCTTGTGGTAAAATGCTGAAAGATCAAAATGCCAGAATGGACTGGTTCAAGCAGCAGTTCCGGAAGGGACTGGGAAATGCTATAGACAGTCTAAGGATGAGAGAGAAGAGGGCTGTTTTAGCAAAGTGTCAGCTCAGATTTGAGTGTGGGACACGTGGTCGAAGTTTAAGGGGGAAACTCAGTTACATGGTGAGATATTTAATTAGTAGTGTAAGGCTCGAGGTTAAAGTTCACCAGGGTTTCAGACCCCCAGACTCCTAAACAAAACAGTTATTGAGAGCAGGAAAAAATCTCATGGAGTAGACTTTCACATGCATTTTAATGGGACTTTAGTATCACTTTTATGAGTTATCAACTATTAACAGAAATTTTGGAACCAATGGTGCATGTATTGTGAGGGATGAGTGTAATTATTTATAAAAAAAAGTATTAAAATAATTATGGATTCACGTACTGTAGAATTAATTTTACATACAAATGATATAATATTGTGTATTGTGTAATTATTTTAAACAAAACAAAAAATAACACCAACACATTTAGTGGGTATAAGTATTTCTTTAGTATTACTTAAGGATTTTTGTTCCTTCTTTGCTGAACACTCATTT